CCAAGTAGCGTCTTTAATATCGTCTGTGTTCTTAAGTGATCAAAAAGGAATAGTCAATTATTCATGAGGTATTAACAGGTGAGGTAAAAAAAGAAAACTTTTGTTTTTCTTTCTTTCTTTTATTCACTGAAAACAAGGAGCATCTCTGATATGTATTTTGTCTTTTCATGCGATCAAAACGGAACTGTTCATTATTTATTAGGTATCGACAGGGCGTATTGGTCTTGCGAACTAACGAATGGAGGAAGGAACAAGCACAATTATTATAGGACACTCAGCTCACGTTCGTTTTTTTTTTATATATATAAGATCAGGTTAAAGGAAGTATGGAATGTGTTGTCCCAGTCTTGTAAGAAATGTTATCCTTGGTCTTATCTTAAAAATCCCTATTCAGAAGTCTAGAATTTTAACTAACAGCTGATATTGGAGTTAAATACGTAACTAATTCACAACCTTTAACAGTCGCTCACACTAGTTATTCTGTACGAGAGAAGAAACTGTTAGCATAGAATTTATGCTAACATTTAGAAATTTGAATTGTAAAATGACGAGACATATCTGCCAATCTAGTACGGCGCTTAAATTCGCAAAGTCGTGTTGACAAAGAAGAAAGGTGACCAGAACAATTACCACGAAAATAGTTGCAGAAAAGACACAGGGAAGCTATATTACGGCTGTCGGAATGAATCCGAGATGCCAGCTCAAGACCGATAACATAGCAGATTTTTTTGGTTATTTACAAGATTTCTAAATACGTAGCAAGAGAACCAGAGCAGATGTAGCAACAATATTCAATGCAAGGACGAATGGTACATTAATATACTTGTAAAATAGATTCTTGCGAGAAAAAGAAATCCACTCAAAAATACAGTTATACATAAAAACACGCACGCACACGTATACACACGTATAAAGGTAATTGTTATTGCTATAACCATAATACTGAGTGGGCACATGTGTTGGAGTAGATATCACTGTTTCGTGAACAGATAAATGTCTACTGGCGTAGCGACTGAAAGTCTTATTACAGAAAATGCTCCACCCGAATAATTATAGTGCTTATAGTAATAAGAAATAAATTCGGATTAAGAATCAATTGATCGTATAAAATATATCGATATATAACAATAATAAATATTGCCTCGCCAGAAACAAACGATCAAGAGAATAAAAAAAAAATGTCAGTCAGGTCATTTCTGATAGATATCATTTCTAATGTAAGCAGTTTTTGTAACTTTAGCGCTTCTTATTGTAATAATTTCTAAACATGGATTCAACTTTACAATCAAGACTTTCTAGACAAACAATTCAAGAATGATAACGACACGAATGTTTGGCGCTACACATTCATACAATTAATAAACAGACAAACACACACACATATATATTATTGTTATAAGAGTTATAATTCGATAATTGGTGTATACAGTGATATATATATATATATATATATATATATATATATATATGTATGTATGTGTGTGTGTGTGTGTGAGCGTCTGTGTGTATATATATATATATATATGTACACATATGTGTGTGTATATATATATATATGTGTACACACACGTGTATATATATATATATATATATATATATATATATATATATATATATATATATATATATATATATATATATGTATATTGTTTAATATGTTTGTGATTTACATCTTTGATAATGGCTTAAGTAAGCCGAAAGCTTAGATTATATTAAAAAATATGGATCAATATTGTGAATTTCTTTCTTCGTTTAATGATAATGTTATCAAACTTATCAGAAGTTACGAACAAATTTTACATAAAATAAATAGACAACACTTGTCTATATTATTTAATGAAACGTGTATATATGTATATGTGTGTGTGTGTGTGTGTGTGTGTGTGTGTGTGTGTGTGTGTGTGTACACACACTCGAGGGAATGTCAAAAATTGTCCGCATACTGATATAAAATATAGTACAGCGAAAGTCCGGATAATTATTTTATTTTACCATCGTATATATATATATATATATATATATATATATATATATATATATATATATATATATATATAAAAGAAAAAAAAACCGTTAGTAGAACCAAGGGACAACTTCATAAAAGACTTAAATACCGTTAAACACGATAAAATCTCGAAAAAAGCAAGCAATTAGAAAAAAGGAAAGAAAAAAACACCTAAAGTCAATCAACTACTTACTCAGTAAAAATGCTCAAATGCCTAGATTTCCTAGACAGAGCAAAAACGCTTGACGGCGTTAATTCATATAAAATTATGACCGGTGTTGTAACAGGAGTTTCACGATATGCGACGTTGATCACCTTGACTTTCAAGTCGTCTGAAGATCGAGTGAAACTCGGGTTACGAATAATGCCAACCTTTCATAGTGCATATATATATATATATAATATATATATATATATATATATATATATATATATATATATATATATATATATATATATATATATATATATATATATATATATATATATATATATATATATATTTATATCGGATTGATATCAGTGTGTGACCGTGTGTTTCACAGTGAAACCCAGGGTCACACACTCACATCAATCAAATAAATATGTTAGTTCTATCACTGATATTTGCAAGAAAGTACCGTGCATATATAATATATAAATACTATATATAAAAATTGCATATATAAACAGAGTTTGTCTGACGATCGCAAAAGCGTGAAACCCAGGTCCATAAACTCACATCTATCCAACTAAATATGTTAACTCTATCTCTGATATTGAGCGCTTTCTAATAAGTACCGCGCATATAATATATAAATAATAATATATATAATATATTACATATGTATAAATATTTTTGTTTATATTTATATACACATACTTTTTCTATATATATGTATTTGTATATATATATATATGTGTGTGTGTGTGTGTGTGTGTGTGTGTGTGTGTGTGCGTGAGTGTGTATACAATGAAATCGATTAAGTTCGAAAATTATTTAATATATTTTCTGTTTTATTTCATATATTATCTAGTGCAAATAACGTATAAACACAAAAAACATGCGCATGCGCGCGCGCATACACACACACACACATATAAACGAAGCGTCTCCTTAAAAAACGAGTATCCACTTCAAATAACATTTGACATAATAAAAATGTCAGATTCCAAAAAAAAAAAACCATTAATATTTTAGAAATTGCTTTGGTTACGTTTAAGATTCAGAATCGAGCTAGGAATCGAGCTTTCGAAAAAATCTGAACGGGAGGATGTGCATTTCTTAAAAAAGGGTAGACAGAGATTTATTGATCTCTGACAGTCTCTGTGACCGAGCTGTCTAAGTCATGTCCGATCAAACGGTTCTTTTTCCTTCAAAGTGTGGAGGCTGTTTCCAAGTTTGCAGAATAACATACTTTCTTTATTAAGTTTTCTCGAGTGCACAGGTCGAAAAACGGAATACACGCTGTTTGAAAAATAATAAACATTGGAATTGACATTCATATACGGGCTGGGATATCGAAAGTCTGATTAAAGAAAGTATGACTACTGACAATAATCGAAGCTTTTCTTAATGTGAGAAACTCGCACGATTTGTGCGCTTTTACTATTAAGCCACGCGAGTAAATAAAGGTTTAATTATACAATTAAATAAAGAAATATTTCTGGTTAGGAACTTTCGAAATCTGAACTTGATAACTTTTTTTCCGTAATTTTTAAGCAATTTATGCATTAAAAAAAAATAGAATTTGCCAATACACAGTTTCAAATTGGTATGCCTGTTTTTATTTTTAAAAGTGAAATTATAATTAGTACATTAAAAACTTACTAAATAGGAAAAAAAAAAAAAAAAACTATAACCGTTTTTCATTAAAAATATGATTATTTTTCAAAATAATAAAAACGAATAATTGCAATCACGAAAATTTGCATCAACAAATGCCGGTATAATAGGCCAGCCCCAGCTATTTTTTTTTTTTTGACAATAGGCGACATGTGTTGGAAAGCCACTGAAAATAAAACTTACTACTGAAATCGTGGACGGTGAAATCAGCTTGCGAGCCGCTGTCCAATGGTGAGGCGTCCGGCGAACATTCAACACTTTATGATTTATCAATGTAAAGTCCACAAGGACGAGATACGTTTGCAAACTAAGGCGAAGCGTCCCAAACTATAAATATTAATTGGTATATGTTATACGATATATATATATATATATATATATATATATATATATATATATGTAGGAGAGAGCGAGATAGAAACAGAATGAGATAGATAGATGGAGAGAGCAAGACTGAGAGGGTGAGAAACAGAATGAGTTAGAAAGATTGATTTCAGTAGACTGAGTACGATCAATGTATATAGATACGAACAGATTACTGTTTTACTGCAGATAGATAGATAGATAGATAGATAGATAGATAGATAGATAGATAGATAGATAGAATGATAGATAGATCTGAATAGAATGAAATATATACATTTATATATATATATATATATATATATATATATATAGAGAGAGAGAGAGAGATAGATAGATAGATAGATAGATAGATACATACATACATACATACAGGAGATAGACAAAATAATTTGAACACTATCTTAACCATTTATTTATTAACTAGTATGGTGCTGGGCCACTGTTAGCTTCTAATTATTCTAATTATTTTACTTGAAGATAAATAATGACTTAATTAGTAGGAAAAAGCAAGGTAGGGGATAAAATACTGAGTAGTTACCTTTTCGACCGGTTTGATGTTTACACATATTGAAATAAAAAAAAATTGCTTTTTTTGAAACCTGTTCACATTATTTTGTTTAACCCCTGTATATATATGTATGTATTATAGATAGATAGATAGATAGATAGATAGATAGGTAGATAGATAGATTTTGAACAGTATCGCATAGATAGATCTTGACAGAATTAGATAGGCAGATTGATATATCGATAGGTAGAACAATCTATAGGATCGTATATTAACATGAACTACATTGATTGAATATGCATTATTATAGCCTGTAATTTTGTCATTTTCAACTGAACTTCCTATAATTCAAGTTAAAATCTGTGTAGATGAATCTTAAAATAAAACTGTACAAACCAGATCTATTTTTGCGTATACCTTTGCCTCTGTAACTATCAGAACTGTCCATATTAGCGCATCGATGTATGTAGAAATATATCGAATGGTACATGTGGTTTAGCTGAGCTATATAACTTAACAATAGACCTTTTGGCCTCTTTACTACATTTTACTGGTGGAATTTCAAACAACTCTTCCCTAAACGATTTTCACAAAGAAAAATATTAACTGTTACATATCCGCACAGAGCATCTGCGAAGGAAAATTTAGAAGAATTCGAGTGTAGATATGACCTCTCTCTCTCTCTATATATATATCTCATTCTCTTTCTCGCTCTCTCTGTATGTGTGTGTGAAAGAAATTGGTTGTGGAAGAGAGAGAAGATCGAAGAATGCTTGTTTACTGATTGATAAATAAACTATATTTGTTTCTTACATTCTTACCCTGTATTTATCAATTTCTATCCAACTCTCCTCTTTTTCTCTCCTGTCTCTCTCTCTCTCTTTCTCTCTCTCTCTCTATATATATATATATGGATATATATATATATATTTCTGATGTGAAACTGAAACATTTTCGGCCAAATCAACTTACTCAAATCTTTCTTTAAATACATCTTGTTCAAGTCGAAATATTTTTACTCCACGCGTCTGTCTGTCTGATTGTCTGTATATCTATCTATCTATCTATCTATCTATCTATCTATCTATCTATCTATCTATCTATCTATCTATCTATTTGACATTCTGTACAGATCTATCGCTGTTTATCTACCCAGCGAGCTAAACTATTATTGACAAGGCTAAGAGTATGTTGACTCTAGGTGGGAATAGTATCAATCTCTCTCTCTAACTCTCTCTCTCTCTATATATATATATATATATATATATATGTGTGTGTGTGTGTGTATATATATATATATATGTATGTATATATATATATATATATATATATATATATATATATATGTGTGTGTGTGTGTGTGTGTGTGTGTGCGTGCCCGCGTATGTGTGTGTGTGTGTGTACACGTGCGTGTTACTTTGTATTTAAAAAAGGGAAACCTTTATCATGATAAAGTTCCTTGGCGGAAGAAGCGCTTTGGCAAAGAAAAGTTTTACTTCTCTCTCTCTCTCTCTCTCTCTATCTCTCTCTATCTATCTATCTATATATATATATATATATATATATATATATATATATATATATCTACATCGGAATCTCCGGAACGTAATAGTTTTTTCACAACATTTTTAAAATTTTTTGACAATCTCCTTCCTTGTCAATATACTTAAACCAGTAGTGAATATCATTCAAAGATATATTGTTCAAATCTCAGACAAACATTCAGTTAATAACTGCATCAATCTAAACACACACACACACACTCATACACACACACACACATATATACATATATATCTTTTTCTCTTCCTATCTATCTATCTATCTATCTATCTATCTATCTATCTATCTATCTATCTATCTATCACGTTCTCTTTATGTCTGTCTATCTATCTAATTCTCTTCATATCTATCTATCTACCAATCTATCTATATATCTATCTATCTATCTATCTATCTATCTATATGTATTATTATCTTCATGTCTATCTCCTTACTGAGTGCCCCCCTACTTTCGGCCTTGCGCCGCATCTAAGCTGCGCTTGGAAAATCTCTCTCTCTTTATATATATATATATATATATATATATATATATATATATATATATAATATATTAAATATATATCTAATCGTTAAACTTTCAAAATAACACTATTCGAAAGAATATTCGATAAAGTGGACCTGAAAAATCTGCATATCCATTTAGCAGTCTGTGTATTCATGTACTTTTCCCCACTGTACGCGTGTAGTATAAAATGCTTTCCCATATAAAACCGTTGACCAGAGAAGAGAGAGGGATAATCCACATTACAAATAAAAAAATAACTGTTTATAACATGCACCCGGAAGCATAACACAGAAAAATCTAAAAGAAAAAGAAAAAAATCCTGAAACAAAAAAGAGATAATTAAAGAAAAATAATTATATCATAAAATTTGAAATAATTATTGAAAAAATAAAATATGAAGATCTCACTATTGCACGGTCAGTTTAAACTTGGTTCCTGATTTTTTATATAGTGCCTTTTCGACTTTCTTCTCGTCTTCTTCAGGATTTTTAATACTCTGTTATCGTTTTAGATGTAAATATTTCCTTTGTTTTTTTGTTGTTTGTGTTTTTTGAAGATTTTCTTTGTTAAATTCCGTATTTTAAAAAAGCAAACAAAGAAACAAACTTCAAATAACTTTCATTTTTATCGAAAATGAGTCTATTATTACTCTTTCCGGAAATAGTCCTTTTTTTCTTTTCTTTTTTTTTTTTTTTTTTTTTTTTTTGGGGGAGAAACTTTTTTACGCATTCATGATTTGCAACTTCTTTCGGCAAAAAATAAAATGACATTAAAATTTTCACAAACTATTTTTCTTTTTTCTTGATTTCTTCTCTCATTCGTTATATATATATATATAAATATATATATAAATCCTGTAATTTTTTATGTAAAAATATTTCCAGTTTATCTTTGTTCAGTAAGCAGCTTGTAAATGCTGCCTTCATCTTTTTTACTTTTTTCTTCTTTTTTTTTGTTTTGATTATTAATATTTCGTTTCTGAGCTGTATTCATCCGTCTTCTGTGACTTCTTTATTCTCTCAATCTTTCTGCTTTCTCTCCATTTGTATCTGTTTTTAATTGTTTTATCATCCGGGATTTCCTTTTATTAAATGATTATTGCGGTAATACGACTCCTCTTCCGTGTTATTCATCGTATGTAATGCTTAATTATCTTGATTTTACCAGTGTTACTTTAACTTGGTTTTCTCTCGTGCCAATTTGGTCTTTACCGTGTTATTTTTACGGGGGTTTCCGATGCTAAACACTATTCGGTAAATAGGAGGCGGACTGTGTAAAGTGTGCGGCTTTTCAAACAGATCAATCTTTTTTTTCTTCTTTTTTTCTTATGTATTTTTCTCTTTTTTCTTTCTTCAAAAACTGTTTCTATTTATTTTTAATTGCTCTTTAAGATGTTTCCGTACATATCCACATCTTTTGCATTCTTGATACGATATTAAATTTTTCCATATTACTTTCAAAAGGCTTCATATGTGTATAGATGGAAATGGTTTTGATATTATTTTTTATTGGTTAATTTTTTTTTTCCACGCGATTTCTTTTTTTTTTTTTTTTTTAATAATTCCTTTTCCTTTTTTAATATTTTGCTTTTTTCTTTTCTTTTCATTAGTAATTAAAAGGAGTAGAAATGAAACCAAATATTCAAAGAAAGAGAACGTTAAAGTTTCCTGAGTTAAGATAGAGAGTGTCAAGACAAAAACACAAAATGGAGAAATTATTATTATTATTATTATTATTATTATTATTATTATTATTATTATTATTATTATTATTAAAATGTTGCTTTTCTTTCAACGAATAGTCAAGAAATTTGATAAAGTCAACAAAAAAAATAAAAAAAAATAAACTTATCATAATAAGGGCAACAACAAGAAAAATATTAACAAAATAAGGAAAAGGAAAAAAATTAACAAATGGAACGGCATTTCCGGATCTTGTTATTCCCCCATATCCCCGGCCGGCAGGTCGCGGCAAAGCGCGTATGAAGAACTCGCGGATTTAGTGGAATGTCTAAGACCCGTTGTTAAGGGGAGAAGGGCAGATGCCGCCGCTGTCGTCGTCGTCGTCATCGTCATCATCGTTGTCGTCGTCGTCGCCATCATCATCGTCGTCGTTACTATCATCCTTGCCACCGCCTTCTTCTTCTTCTTCTTCTTCTTCTTCTTCTTCTTCTTCTTCTTCTTCTTCTTCTTCTTCTTCACTGCGTCTGCCACCTTTATAGCTACCTCGATACTCCTTATTCAAGTTAACAAGTGCCGGATGCATTTAAAGCATTGTTCTGGTTGCTAACGGCGTCCTGGCCGTTGATACACATGCGTCGTCAAATTGCGTACGACTTTTGCCGACTGTACACATTGGCAGTCTGATTCATTCTTGCTACCGTGCGCGAAAACTCTCTTTTCACTCTCTCTCTATTTCTCTCTCTCCCTCTCTCTCTCTCCCTCTCCATTCCCCCTTTGAAGACCTGCACATAAATCCTCACACACGCAGAGACACACAGGTCTGTATACTCACTCTCTGTCACTTACTTTCCGTATGTTTTGTTAGTACCAAATTCAAAGTATTTGACACCGATATAGTTAATCGCTTCTGAAATACGTATTCGCAATTTTTCCTTTATTATTATTATTATTATTATTATTATTATTATTATTATTATTTATTTACTTATTTATTTATTTTCTTTGATTTCTGGCGTTTACACATTTCTTTCCGGGTCCCGCCCAGGGACCTAAGGTTAGATATGGCATCATGACACTTTCCACTGACACACACAAAAAAATAAAAATAAAAAAATAAATTACATAGATAAAGCCCTTCGTAAACTGTGGGCTTTACTAGTCAGAACAATTTTTTGTATCTCCTTGAGACATAGACTTCCAGGAATCCCTTCAATTAGTCTACTGGAATCTTTTCCAAAGAGTCCTACAACAGGGATTTTTGATGTTCCCATATGCCACATTTTCGAGATTTCTATTTCAAGGTCCTTGTATTTTGACAGCTTTTTGAATATCTTCAAAGATACATTGGAGTCAGCAGGGACTGCCATATCAATAAGCAGTCACTATTTTGTTTGTTTATTATTATTATTATTATTATTATTATTATTATTATTATTATTATTATTTCCTTTGATTTCTGGTATATATTAATTTCTTTCTGAGTCCCAGCCATAGATCTAAAGTCAGAGCTGGCATCATGACATTTTTCACTGAGCATTTTTGAGGACCCCCTCCTCCCACAAAAATATAAATATAAGATCACACATGTTTTACATAGATAAAGCCCTTCGTAAGGTGTGGAGTGTACTTGTGAATAGAATTTTTTGCATTTCTGTAAGGCTCGTGCGACAAGGAATTGTTCGTGTTACTGTTGTTTTTGAATCTCTGAAAATTATTGGCAGTCGTAGAAAGAAAGAAACCAAATTTTAGTCATAACAACAACAACAACAACAACAATAATAATAATAATAATAATAATAATAATAATTTTGAGATGTTACCTTTAATGTCATCCTCTGTCTTAACCCAGCAAAATTTTTTAATCTCTTTTCACGTATGAAAAGGAAAGGAAAATACGCCACAAAACAAAGAACTGAAAATGAAAAGGGGGCGTAGAGAAAGATTGTACTACGCCAATGTTTTAAGCAGAGGGGCCGACATATTTTTTTCGTCTCTCGTTCAAAATCTTACAAGGCTTTCCCTAAATCAATGCATATTCTTTGTATCTTGTTATTTACAAAACAATTGAATACTGCAGTTCAAAGAAAGATTGTACTTGTTTTAAGCAAGGCTTTTTTCGTCTCTCGTTCAAAATCTTAAAGCCTTTCCCTAAATCAATGCATATTCTTTGTATCTTGTTATTTACAAAACAATTGAATACTGCACAAAATATAAAATGACAACGTGGAGAAAGATTGTACTACGCCAATAGTTTAAGCCAGCGTTTCTTAACTAGTGCACCAGGGCGCACTAATGCGTCCTGAATAGTATCCAAGTGCGCCACAGAAAAGAAAGTTATAAACGCCACAGTGGATAAAGGCGTTAGTTAGATCCAGTGACAGGACCCAAAGAGTGTGAGTTCAATACCCGGTTAAGGCAGTGGAGAACTTTCAGAGGGTAATTAACAGGAGATAACTGACAACTGACATCCATTAAACTTGGCACGTGGAACTAGAACAGTCTACCCCTGTGAGCGAAATAAAGGGTTCAGTTCGACATTCCAACCACCTGAAGACGGTCGGAGCGTACAACGGCCGAAATGTAACAAATATGGCGACAAAGATGAGGACAATAGTCTGAATAATGTAAATAGTGTTAAAAAGTCTCTATTTTTAAAAACATTTACTTTAAAATAAACAAAATTTAGAAAGACCAAGTCCACGTAAACGATTTCCTCCCTCTAATAGTGGATCATTTAACAAACCTGGGAGATAATCCGAGTTATAAAACTATAAACACTGAAGAATACGACTTAATTCAAATTCTTTTTCTTCGACGTTTTAACTGATGATGTTCGTTTATCGTTAACGGAAGAAAAGGTGCTATCTGCTGATCGTGGCTTACAAACCAAGCATAAAATGGTGTCCCTAGATCAATTTTGGATTTCTAGTCACAAAGAATATCCTTCAAGAGCAAGTAAAGCATTGCATAATTTCTTCCAATTTTCCATTTCTTTTGAATAGGAACAGAAGTTTATCCGTTGTTTCCTGCTTAGGATTGGATTTCCGAATCCTTCTATTAAAATCCTATCATTCTCTTTCGCTCCCATTAACCTCTTGCGTCTTAGTGGCATTGTCGCCTTGTTTTTGTGTTTTTGGGGGGTGGGGGGATTATTTGATTCTAAAAAAAGCGATTAAGCCTGTCTTGAAAATCAGCTTTCGATTTTTTTTTTTACTTAACCTCAAACGGCGACCACTGATATCTGTACGAAATAGCAAAGTATTTTTGTGATCTACAAGGTGTGCCAACGGTTTGTTTTGAATCTCTCTCTTGTGCAGAGATATTTTTATGACCCCCCCAAAAAAAACAAAAAAGAAGCTCGGCAGTTATCATTTTTCAATATTTCTCTTAAAGTTATCATGATATCTGTTTCGTAACATACGTCAGTTATCATTTTAAGAAAAGGTACTTTATCTAAATTGCAAGCACGTTGTATTATATCCAAATCTTTGACATATTGAATTCTAACCATTCTGTGATCAGATTAAAAAATTAGGGCATTCTTATAGAAATAACGAAGTTTATATTAATTATAAAACAAATCAAAAATGTAAAAAAAAAAATCAATGCTAGTTAGAAATGAAAATGATCTATATAAATATTAAACAGTAGCCGATGTGTCAAAAAACACGATAGACAGTCATTTCAGAAGGAATCGTCGTTAGATTCGACATGACTTAACCGACTGGCCTACGAAGAAACCCTATCCGATTTCCCTTAAAAGAACAGTTTAGACCTTGCTTGAACGGCAAAGCTTCTTCGTGACAAATTCGGTTAAGACATGTCGGATATAACGACGGTTTGCCTTTGCCCAGAGAGACGCCCGTTTGAATTCTGCCCGAGGGCGCATAATTTCTCGAATATTCAGGCGGGCAGAAATAAATATACTGTTTTATAAATAAACGGAACGTGTACTCAAATATGTGTATCCACTAAAATAACGTTTAAAGTGATAAAAATCTGTCGGGTCAATAAGTAAAAATCCATTACTACTTTAGAAAATATATATATATATATATATATATATATATATATATATATATATATATATATATATATTTCTATAGAAGCCTTGGATTTGAAAATATTACCTTAGCTTTGTTTATAAGCTACTTATGTATAAGCTAAATTATGGTTAAAGAAGTTTTATACTTCGAGGAACTGAAAAGTTATCAGTCAGACCAAGGAGGCCATTCCTTAAAAATTTGGCAAAGTGCATTTAGCCGAGAACTTTTCAATACATTTGTCTCTCTCTCTCTCTCTCTCTCTCTATATATATATATATATATACAAATAAATAGAAAGAACTGTCAGATTAATAAGCCACTGTTTTTTTAGCATTTATTTTTTTTTAAAGTGCTCAATACAAAGTAGAGCATAATATATTATTATTTAAAAATATTTTTTTCATCGTGACAGACATTTCAATGTTTCAGTACTAAAATTATTTTTCCCTTTTCAAACGATATTCAATAACTTCAGAAAAAATGATTTACTTTTGAAATAGAAGCAGTATTATATTGAAGCGTTTACATAGCAGAGGGAATACGTTTTCAAAATTATTTTTTATGGGTGTTGTCCTGTTTGATGAATCCAAAGACAGATCTAAGTTAAAGTAGAAAATTTAAAAAAATTGTAGGTTAGGTGTTACTTGTGGCTATGTAATTCATGTTTGTCTATTTTGACGTCTTCTATTAGACATGTTACCATTGCTTCCTGTTAAGAACATAATCATGAGATACAATGAAATAATACAGAGAGGTATATGTATTGAACAATGGGTTAATTTTGTGTTTTTATTTTTATAAATTATTATTATTTTTTATTGTTCAGAAGTGTCTTAAAAGTGCCTCTAGTATTAAATTATTTTAATTATTTATATATATATATATATATATATATATATATATATATATATATATATATATATATAACTATTATGATCTAAAATGCATTACCTATTATATCCAATGGTATATTAGATATGGGAATATTAAAATTAAAAGTCAAGGAATTAAGTAAATATTTTACTGGGAAGACAGTGGATCTGACACAAAAAGATTTTTAACTGTTCTCTTTTTAGCAGAAAAACTCAGAGTTTTTTTGGCTTTTTTACCAGAAATCGTGTCAAGATGGTTAAATTTTTTATCTGAAAAATCTGGAAAACAGAAACTCAATTAGTTTAGTGATTTTTTAGATATTAAACATTTTGTTGAATGGATAATTCTGCAGTTACACGATTTGGAGAATTTTGTGTTACACCTGTATATATATATATATATATATATATATATATATATATATATATATATATATATATATATATGTATGTATGTATGTATGTATGTATATATATATATCTTAAAAACACTGATATGTAAACACATATATAAGAAAACGTATATAAGCATGCGTATATAAACATATTTTAACATACACATGTATATATAAAGATCATAAATCATATCGGCATTTTCGCATACACACACACGTAAAATCACACTAACACGCACATGCACACACGTATATGGAAAACTTTTATAATTAAAATGTTAAAATTGAATGGCTGTTTTAATAAAAATTTATATAATTTACTTGGAGGAAAATGTATTGAAAAGGACTTTATCTCCAAGACCCATATGACTGATATGTAACTAGATTAATGCAGATTATCGCCTAAATTACTAAATTTATACTGAAACAATGTCGGACACGAAAACCTGAAGAAAATAAATAAAT